GTAATGTAGCATTCTGTGCACTGGTAACAGCAAGGCAGGTAGTAGCTAGGCTTGACGTTCATGAGCCTGACAGGGAATACAAATCCCCAGCAGCAGCTGGTACTCAGTCACAGCCACAGGCACAAAAGGCTTTAAAAGGGAATTAAACAGATTCATGGTGGCTACTGGCCATGGTGACTGACCCTCTGAATCTAATTAAACAGATTCATGGTGGCTACTGGCCGTGGTGACTGACCCTCTGAATCCCGGAGCCAGGAGGCTACATCAGGGGAAGGGCTCGGCCTTGCTGCTCTCTTGTTGGCCCTCCAGAGGAACAGGTTGGCCCCTGTGTGGGGCAGGAGGCTGGACTAGATGGACCGCTGGTCTGATCCAGCAGGGCTCCTCTGATGTTCTTATGAAGGCCTCAGCCTCTCTGTCCTGTTGTTGGCCCTCCAGGGGAATGGGCTGGCCGCTGTGTGAGACAGGAGGCTGGACTAGATGGACCACTGGTCTGATCCAGCAGGGCTCTTCTGATGCTCTTATCAGGGGAAGGCCTCAGCCTCTGTGCCCTGTTGCTGGGCCTCCAGAGGAACTGCCTGGCCACTGTGTGAGACAGGAGGCTGGACTAGATGGACCACTGGTCTGATCCAGCAGGGCTCTTCTGATGTTGCTACAGTCTTTATGATTCTTTATGGGGGAGGGCAACCAAGCAATCTTTTTGCAAAATTACCTGCTTCACATGAGATAACACACCTTTCCGAATTAACATGTGTTGATTTCCTTCACTAAGACTTATCTCCTGAATCAGGGGTCTTCTCTTTGGTTGGGGACTTGCAACGTCTTCATGAGAGAAGGCAAATGTTATAATTGGGCTATGTCATGTCCGGAGTAAAGTCTTATTCAGTTTCTTTGTCTCAAAAGACGTATTTCCTTAGTTAATGACCTGCAAGCATGACCAAAAAAAGCCCAATCCAAACTTGAGAACTATGCACACAAAGAGGGTTCAGTTCTCAGTGAATTTCTGGGATGTGTAGCCAATAGACTATGCAAGAGCTACTCCCGAGAGGGCTAAAAAAACATACAGGAACGAAGCATCAAGGACACAGTAGGCCTCTATTGCTCATATCACTAGGAGCAAGATAACTTCCTTCCCCAGCCCTGAAGGGCATACTTTCAAATTTGGGATGACATCACAGAATGCATTATGAGTTTTTCTGTGACATCGCAGAATGTGTCCCCCCCCCCCGATCAGCTGGCTTTAGATGTACTGCGGAAGACTGCATAGCCACACCAGATTTGGGCAGCCAGAGCTCTCAGGGGACCAGCATGAAAAGATTCCAGGGCACCGATCCCCATTGAAGCCCCTCGAGCGGAACCGATTGTGTTTTTCTCACATTTGTACTGGGTCTGGCTGGTGTGAGAGTGGAATGCTGAGAAGGAATCTTTGCCTGAGCATCCCTTGGGGCTACTGGCACCTCATTGGGCATTTCAGATTACTTGATGTGGCTTTCTCCATCTTCAGGACTACTTGGATGCAAAGCAATCTACTGGAAGTGGTGGCGGCTACAAGCACAGACAGCTGTAAGAGGGGACTGGATGGACATGGAGCAGGTGTCCATCAGTGGCTCTTAGCCACAAGGTACAAATGGAACACTCTGTCTGGGGCAGTGATGCTCTGTCTTCTTGGTGCCTGTGGGGGCAACAGTGGGAGGGCTTCTGGAGTTCTGGCCCCGCTGGTGGACCTCCTGATGGCCCCTGGGTTTTGTCCACTGTGTGACACAGAGTGTTGGACTGGATGGGCCATTGGCCTGATCCAACATGACTCCTCTTTATGTTCTTCTTACGACCTTTGACATTTTTTCAGGCCAACAAGCTGCATTTGCTAAAATACAAAATTAGAAGTAACTATTTAATTCATGGGAGATGCACAGGCCTTCTTTCACTTGAAATAAACCTGTTCTACATGTGCATGTATATGTGCTTGGGTATTCAAAAATTTCACCCACGTTCCTACCGAGGCACTTTGATATGATTAGACATACCATGCTCATTTAAGCACACCCTTCTGGTGTATTTCAGAGGTTGAGGGTACTTCCCACCACTAGCTTTCAAATGATCCTAATGGCCAAAATCAAGAATCTGGTCAAGGGATGCTGATTCTGTGTCAGTTGGGATCATATCTGTTTACTTCTGGGAGTGGATCTCATGGCATTTGAAGAAGTAGCTATCAGGCACAGCCCAGGGCTTGAACTGTTGATATGCATCTGCGCACAATGAAAGGTAGTTAAGGAATTTTTACAGCAAAGAAGGTGGAAGGATAGTAGCATCGGTGTAACCATGTCAGCCTTCACCAAAATGATGTTTACTGTTAATACTCACATTTTATTTCACACTCCCTGTTTCTAATGGAGGAGGAGGAGATGAGGAGATTGGGTTTATACCCCACCCTTCACTACCCAAGGGAGTCTCAGAGTGGCTTACAAACTCCTTTCCCTTCCCCTCCCCACCACAGACACCCTGTGAGGTAGGCAGGGCTGAGAGAGCTCTTTTTCAAGAACAGCTCTTATCAGAACTATGACTTGCCCAAGGTCATCCAGCAGCTGCCAAGGGGAGGAGTGGGGAATCAAATATTAGAGTCCGTGCACTTAACCACTACACCAAACTGCTCATCTGTACCTTCTCTGCATGCACACGATTGATTTGTCCCAAAGTTATGTCAAGTCATACAACCTCTCCACTATTTCCCTTTGGTAAGAGCTCAGGACTTTAGGACAGTGTCAACAAGGCAGTTCATTTTGCCATCAAATTATATCCTTTTTCTCCTGAATGAATAATTCCTTGAAGAAACTGACCTGAGGTTGGAAGCCATCCACTATGGCAAGATCTTCCATACCATATAAGAAGTACTGGTACGGGTAAGAGAAATGGTCCACCTAAGTCAACATTCCTGTCTGCTGCCAATGACCGGGTAAATGTTTCAGGCAACTTCACAAATGGTGTGATGCTGAGATCCATCTCCTGACGTTAATCTCATGACTGGATCATAAGCCCTGGGCCTCCAGGGATCTGGACAGGAGCTGGGCTGGTGGAGCCTTCTGGAGCTCAGACTCATCTTGTGGAAAACCCTACACTTCACTGGGCCCAAGTACTTCTGCCAGCACTTTGCTTCACTCCCCTCCCTCATTGCTGTGATTACTAACTGCCCTTTCCTCTGAGAAGACAACTACTATGAGTCCCTTCTTGGCTTCCTGACCCAGCAAGCCTTCACCTCTGCACCCACCTGGACCATCTTTTGGGGCTGCCTTGCCTCTTGGTTAGACACCTCAATGCGTTGAACAAAGCCCAACACCCCTCTGCTTTTCCTAAGAGGGAAGGAAAGGCCCCCGCAGGAGATCATGGGACTCTTCTAGCGTGTGACACCCAAGATCTTAAGGCCAGACGTATATCATCTCTGGAAAAAGAAGATGGCAGTTTTGGTTAACATGGCCACCGACCAATATTTTGCACTACGTGTAAGCAAAGAGAGTCTAAACGTATAGATCAGTACAGATCTACGGTGCGGCCTCATTTGGAATACTGTGTACAGTTCTGGTCACTGTGTCTCAAAAAGGACATGGCAGAGATGGGAAATGTACAGAGGAGGGCAACCGAGATGGTTAGGGGGCTGGATCACCTTCCCTTTGAGGAAAGGCTGAAGAGTCTGGGATTTTTTTCAATTCAGAAAAGAGACAACTAAGGGGGGATATGGCAGAGGTTTATAAAATTATGCATGGTGTGGACAGAGTTGACAGGGAGAACTTTTTCTCCCTCTCCCAAAAGACTAGAACTTGACAGCATCCAATGAAGCTGATGTGCAATAGGTTCGGGACAGATGAAAGGAAATACTACTTTACACAGAGAGTGATTAAAATGTGGAGTTTGCTGCCAGAGGAGGTAGGGATGCCCACAGGAATGAAGAGCTTGAAAAGGGGATTAGATAGATTCATGGAGGAGAGGTCTATCAGTGGACACTAGCCATGGTGACTGAGGGGAACCTCCACATTCAGAGGCAGTCAACCTCAGTGCCAGGAAGCAACATCAGGGGAAGGCCTCTATGCCCTGTTGTTAGTTGTTCAGAGGAACCAGTTGGCCACTGTGTGAGACAGGAGGCTGGACTAGATGGACTATTGGTCTGATCCATCAGGGCTCTTCTTATGTTCTTATGTTAAATAAATTTGCAACCACTAACACCTTGGATGTTTTTAAATTATTTAACTTTTATTACTGTTGCACCATTTATACAATTACATATAATTTCAATGCATCCATTGTACATTTTTGCTTTTTTCATCTTTTTTTTTGTCCCAATGAGTGGTGTATTGGTGTCTGTGACACAGAATGGAGGAGAAACGGGAACTGCAATGAACGCAGACTTTTTTTTTTCATTTTCACTGACCAATAAACAGAACTACAGGTGCACCCAACCACGGACATGCATTAAACTCGTCATGAGAAATCTAGGTAGGCTAAGTAGGATGAAGAATGCTTTTTTTAAATATTCTTTTTAAACTCCCAAAAATATTTGGAGAGGAAGAAGAATCAGAGGATTGGCATCGAGAGAAAAAATCTGGAAAGCTACATTTGTTTGTCTGAAAGTTGCCATTCATTCACTGCATAAAAAATACAAAATAATAAAAGGCTGTAAATTAAAAATAAAACCCATAGGAAATACTGCTTTGATAAAGATCTGATTGGTGTGTGGCACTGGCCCAGAGGGCAGAATCAATTATAGCATCACTCCCAAACCCCTATTAGAGAAAAAGGAACCGATCAAATACATTGGCGGAGTGCATTTACAGCAGTTCAGATACAAAAAAAAGAAGAGGAGGAAGTACTGTACTTTCAGACATTGGGGCTGTCTTCTGATTTTAATATCTGATTGAAATACAGGACTTTGCAGAACTGGCAGAAAGTATATTAGATATTTCCCCCACTGAATGGGACAATCCAGTATTTTATTTTATCTTTTATTTCTTCTTGGGCAATACATATTTCTTATTTCAGATCTGAAACAAGTTAGTAGAGCTGGGGTGGGGGGGAGGAAATTAAAAAAAAAAACACAGGTTGTTTTAAGTGGTTAATTTTTTTCTTTCTCTCCCAACAGGCTGTCCAAATTTAATCTTTCGCCGCTACGGATTGATCCGAAATAGTCGCCGGGGCTTCAGACGGTTTCGCTTCCTCTGGCGGGGCCACGGGCTCTGAGGCCTTAGGAGTTGAACTAGGTGCTTCTGTTGTCGCTGGGGTCTCCTTGGAAGAAGGCGCGGGCGCGCTGCTGCTAGGTTTTGAGTCTGAAGCCACTTCGCTTTTAGTTTCTTGGGCTGCGGGTACTGGAGCCTCAGTCTTTTTGGCATCCCCGTCCTCCTTGCCTTTGTCGTCTCCTTTACTAGGGGCGACTTCCGAAGGCTGGGAAGCTTTTGCATCACTGCTGGGCTCTGAGGGTTTAGGCGCTTCGCTGCTGGCTGGGGGAGCGGTGGCAGAGCTGGGCGGCTCCTCTGGCTTGGCCGCCTGCTGCTGCTGCTCGCTGTTCTTCGGCGGCTCGGCCTTGGCATCGACCACCGCCTCTGACTTCTCAGGCTCCGGTTTCTTGGCCTCCTCCTGGCCTCCTGCTTTGTCTTTCTCCCCTTCTTTGTCGTCCGTCTTGTTGGCAGCCTCCTTCTCGCTCTTCTCCTCCTTGTTGTTCTCCTTCACTTCGGGCGTCTCTGTGGCGGTCTGTGGGCTCTGTTCGCTCTCTTTCGTGGCCTCCCCTTCCTCAGCAGCCGCCCCCTCAGCCTTCTTGTCCTTGTCCTTCACCTTTTCGTCATTCACATTGTAGCCCTTCTTCTTCTTGCTCAGTTTGCCTCCCATGTTGGGGCTCTGGAATCAAGAAGAAAGGAGAAGGTTACACAGAAATCAAGGAATCCCTCTTCGTATCACCTGGGAAAACAAAGCGAAATTGGTTCATTCCCTACACATAAACGGAGGGGCAGTGTTGGAAGATGGGGGGGGGAGAGTGATCCCACCACTGAAGACTGAGGGCATATCGACCCCACAGGCTTATATTCCTTTTAATACCTATCCAAGTGTCATGCTTGTCCTTCAAGATATTAAAGATGGAGAGCCAGTGGGGGGTAGTGGTTAAGAGTGTTTGATGAGGACTGAAAGGGCCAGTATTCAAATCCCCTTTTTGCCATTTATTTGTACCTTGCTTTTCCCCCCCCCTATGAGGATCCAAAGTGGTTCGGACCCCTTTTGGGCTGCTGCAGGCCGATTCAGATTCTCTGATCTGAATCGGCTTGCCGCCGAATTGCCGCCAAACTTCGGCAGCAATTCGGCCCCATTATATCCTATGGGCCATTGAAGTCAATGGCAAAAACATAGGGTATATTCTGGGGGCTGGAGGGGAGGGGGTTTAAGGGAGAGGTTCCAAACTTGCAGGGTCGATGCTCAAGCCTCTTCCCAAGATAATAACCAACTTTGAATAACATTGGACAAGGGGGTCCAATTCTACGGGCCCTCAAACAGGCTGCCCCCATCCCCTCCTATATGCTGACTTCACAACAACAACAACCTTGCATGGTAGGTTAGTTTGAGAGAGATTGACTGATTAAATGCCGCCTCTTCCTCCTCCACAGAATAGGAAATTCCAACAAACTGTATGAACCACTTGAGAGATGCATCCATTGGCCAAATATCCCTTTCTGCAGGAAATTCCCCTTTGTCTTTTCCACATGCCATGCCAGTCCTCCTACCATTATAATACCAGGAAGAAACTAATATTTCCCTATAGTCATCAGCAACAGTAGTAAGCAGAATAACTATTTTTCTCTAGGAATACATGTGTACAATTACACTTGAATACAGAGGAGTACCCTCCTCCACCTGGTTAACTTTAAGTAATCTTATTGACCTTTTCAAAAACCCATCAAAATGCCTACAGGTATTTTTGTTGCACCCTGATAGGGTTGCCAAGTCGTACCTCGTCCTGAAGCGGGGGACTCCCGGGTCGCATCCACGTCACCAGGAAGTGACGCGACCATGCCAGGCATGCTGGGGGTGAGGCCATGACTATCCAAGGGAAAACCATAGAGTTTTCCCTCGGCTGACCATGGCCCTGCCCCCAGCGTGCCCGGCGTGGTCGTGTCACTTCCTGGTGACGTGCACGTCGGAGTGGAGTTCCCCACAGGGCCCAATCCAGCGGCAGCGGGGAACGGGCCTCTGGGGCGGGGGTTTCCCCGCCCCCCAGGGGGACTTGGCAAGCCTACACCCTGACCAGGTTAGCCCGATCTCGTCAGATCTTGGAAGCTAAGCAGGGTCGGCCCTGGCTAGTAAATGGATGGGAGACCTCCAAGAAATGCCAGGGCCGTGACGTGGAGGCAGGCTACGGCCAACCACCTCCAGATGTCTCTTGTCTTGAACACCCTACGAGGTCACCATAAATTGGCTGTGATTGGATGGCACCTTCCACCGCCATTTTCCTTGCACAGGACTCTACAAGTACATCAGATTTCACTTTAGGCAAGATTGGGTTCAAAATGCTGAGTTCAAATCAAAGTTTTTGGGCGGAGGCGCTTGGGTTATTTTAGCCCTCTGTGTGGTAGTTTGCACAGTACAACAATGCCTTCCTTGACATAGGAGGCTGAAACTGGGAAGCCCGAAAAAAACGGGTCACCTGAAATATAAAGCAGGATTCTTGTCACTATTCGAATACTTCACAGGAATGGGAAAGGAAGGGCCAGACACTGTACTGGAGTATGTATCCAAGTAACTCTCAGTAGATGCATTACAAGCAACAGCCGGGCAGAAAAATGTAATAAATTGTGCAATAGGGTTATATTACTTCCCTTACAAATGAAACTTCGGGAAACTTTTTTTTTTTTTTACCACCACACCATGTTTAAAACTGGGTAGAAACATCAGGCCAGGGCCAGATTTGTGGCCCACCAGATAGTGGTCTGTGACCTTAACCCTAGCCTCATAGAATGGATGTTCCTTGTTTCTACAGGACACAGGGGATACCCCTTATTCCGCACATCTTCAGTATCTGAACCTGTCTTATGCCAAGTCTACTTTGGTCCCTCTAGGTCAGCATTATCTGCTCTGTTTGGCACCTACTCTCCAGGTTTTCAGATACGGAAAGGTCTTTCCCAAAAACCTACTACCTGAGATTGTTTCACTTGAGATGCTGGGGATCCAATGGGACCTCCCGCATGCAAACCAAACGCTCTGCCATTGTGCCACAGCCATATGTATGCAGATCATTTACAGAAAGTCTGTTTCTTCTTCTCTAAGTCTGCTGTAATAGGTGGCCAGGAACTTATAGCTTTCTCTCTAAAGAGATGTGTGAGTCCTATTCACACATTACGAAGTACGGTGGCTGGGTCCTCAGTTCCTGTTCTATGTCAGACATTACACAATCCCTTATGAGTTGTGGGTTCTCCCCAATTCCCACTCAATAGCCCCCTCAGGGGACAGTTCAAGAATGGGAGAATGGCAATTGGGCCTAGTGGAGCAACCCACATGGATCCCAGGGAACATGGGCCTTTCCCCAAATATTGCCCCCTTGGGACTTCTAATGTCCTGGCCCCACTGGTGGACCTCCTGATGGCACTGGTATTTCTGGCCACTGTGTGACACAGAGTGTTGGACGGGATGGGCCTTTGGCCTGATCCAACATTGACGTCTCTTATGTTCTTATGACGGTTTCAGTTGAGAAAATGGTTCAGGGGGAAGGCACGTGCACCATGGTCCTGATCCTAATTGGGTACTGCATAAATAGGAGAGCCCATGACTTACATGTGATGGTTACATCTGACACAGGCTGGGGTTCCCAGACCCATGTACTCCCTGATGTGTGAAGACTAGGTTCCACGGCAGGCACAAGAATATCCCTTTACGAAGCACAATGATTTTGTTTCACTGTTGGTTTCTGTGGTGCTCAAATTACTTGTACTGACCATTGTCTGTGCATAGGTAGAGGAACTGCTCCTCAGAGTCCAAGCTGTGCAAAAACTGGCTTCCGTGAACAGCACCAGAATTCAAAATGGACGCCACCCCAGTCACAAGAGAGGTCATCGACCCCCACTCTGGCCCACGAGCTCGGTCACTGAAGTCTAATGACATTAGAGCCACCCCAGTTCTCACAACTCGCCCACGTAGGTCCCTCTAATGCCTGTTGCATAAAGGAAATGAAGTCGTCCGTGCCCATCCAGTCACACTGCACTTCAGAGCAGTTTTGCAAATCAGCAGAACCCAAGGCTGAAACAATGGCGAGAGTATATTTGCTTCCAGATAGCCAATCCCCAATTAAGCCTCTATTTGTTTGCCTGGCGATGCCCAGATAATACAAGTGAGCTTTTGTGGCGAGGTGCCTCTTTTTTCCAAGTTGTTGCTTTTTTAACATGGCTAGAAAAATGCCAGCCATTATGATGGGGGGGAGTGGGAGAGAGTGGGGGGAAAGGGAGAGGAAGGTCAAGTGCATCTTCTTGTGCCCTGAGAGAAGATGGAACAAAAAGTCTCTGCGCTCCACACGGGAACGTGCTGCTCCCTCCGAGGGTCCCTGTCAGGTTGAGCGAGCAGGCTGCCAAGCTGTCAGGGGAACGGGTTTTCTGATTACTACGAATGCAGCATCTTAGTATTCTCCAGAAGAGCAAACAGCAGCTTTATACTTATTGGGATACAGAAGGAGGCACTTGGGGACGTGGTGGAGGTGGGAACCAGACCTTCCCCTACTTTGAGGACCCCAGCGCCCAGGGTGGGGGTCGAGTTTCCAGCCCACGATCTGCATTCCCAACTGCAACCCCAATGGCTGTTTACTGTATATAAGGCGGGTGGAGAGACAGCCTACTTATTTCCTGAACGAACGAACAAACAAACGAAGAAACTAGGTATGTATCTTTACAAGCAGCTCAAACATGGCTCTCCTGTTGAACAGCAACAGCCCAATGTGACGACGGGTCACCGCTAGGGATGTGCACCCCCGAAAATGGCCCATTCGGACCCCTTTTGGGCTGCTGCAGGCCCATTCAGATTCTCTGATCTGAATCGGCTTGCCGCCGAATTGCCGCCGAATTTCGGCAGCAATTCGGCCCCATTATATCCTATGGGCCATTGAAGTCAATGGCAAAAACATAGGGTATATTCTGGGGGCTGGAAGGGAGGGGGTTTAAGGGAGAGGCTCCAAACTTGCAGGGTAGATGTTCAAGCCTCTTCCCAAGATACCAACCATGTTTGAAGAACATTGGACCAGGGGGTCCAATTCTATGGGCCCCCAAACAGGTTGCCCCTATCCCCTCCATTGTTCTCTATGGTGGGGAAAATGTAACTTTTTTCCCACCATAGAAAACAATGGAGGGGATGGGGGCAGCCTGTTTGAGGGCCCATAGAATTGGACGCCCTGGTCCAATGATCCTGAAACA